GCAGGATAGAGCAGGGTTTAGGGCTGTTGTGCATAGGGTCGCTATGAGTCGGAAACGACTCGACGGCACATAACAACAACAACAACAACAGTCTGATAATTGATACTATATCAGATCTATTTATTTAGAGAATTAAACCCTCCAAGCACAGTTTTATTTGTAGTTACACTTTTTCTGGAATATCATTATCATTTGGTTCAAAATACTTAGTATTTTCTAATTATTTAATTTCTGACCCATGGGTTATTTAGAAGTTATTTCCTTGCTTTTAAATATTGAAGGGCTTTCTGGTTTTATTACATGTGTTATGTTTGAGGTTTTTTTAATAACAATGAAAGATTTTTTTTACCTCTGATAGTATTTCTTTCATGTGAAGTTAATAAAACCATGCCAGTTTTCCCATGTAAATACTGTTTCTTTGTATGTGAAGTGATTTTATTGTAAAAGTATTTAGTGGGTGTCTTCTCTGTCTTTTTTCCATCTTATCAGAGTTCTGTGACTCTTAATTGAGGACTTTAGTCAGTTTAAGTATAGCGTGCTGTTGATACGGTTGTGATCTCCCAGAGTGGCACAGATGCTTAAACACTCAACTATTAATGAAACAGATGGCGATTTCAACCCACCCGGATGGGAGGCCTGGTGGTCTGCTTTCCAAGGGTCACAGCCATGAAACCCTCTGAGCAGTTCTACTCTGCACTCACGTAGTTGCCACCCATTGGAATTAACTTGACAGCAACTTATAATGACAACATGGATGTAACTGAGTTTAAGTCTACCCTCTAGATATTTGTTGGGGTTTTTCTTCCCTCTGGCTATTCTTTGTTCCTTTAACCTCCTTTTGTGTAAATAGTACACTTTTGCTTTTTCATTTTATTCCTTTTTTTAAAAGCTGTACCTCTTGGTGAGGTATATGTGTGTGTGTTTGATTTCTTTTTTAAGTGATGGCTGCATAGTGACATTGACCAAAAGTCACTAGCCACCTCTGAGAATTTAAATTTTAATTGATTGACATATGATGAAATAATCTAGTTCTGGCTGTATTATAGACAGAAGCCCTGATGGCACAGTGATTAAGACATGAGGCTGCTAACCGAAAGGTTGGCGGTTTGAACCCACCCACTGCTGCTTGGGAGACAGCTGTGGAAAGCTGTCCAGGGCTGACACATCAGCTGCAACAATGGGCTTAAGCTTGGCAGAGATCATGATGATGGTGCAGGACAGGGCAGGTTTTACCTTGTTGTTCATATGGTCGCTATGAGTCATAGTCAATTCAGTGGCACCAACGACAATATTGCTTCGGTAGGACCCATAGTGTTTTAGGAATACTAACCATGCACCGTTGTTTTGTTTCCTAGAGATAATTGATGACCTTGCCAACCTGGTGGAGAATACGGATGAGAAACTTCGCACTGAAACCCGCCGGGTGAGCATGGTGGACAGAAAGTCTACGTCATGCGGTAAGCCATGGTTCCATCACGCTCTGCTTCTCTGGTTGCGTGTGGGTTTGCTCTGCTCTGACTTTCCCACATTTGTCTGATTTCTGGGGGATTTGGTTGTTCTTAGGATACAGACAGTTCCATTTGATGAAGCATTGACATTGCTAAAAGATGCTTAAGTCTAGATAAAATGAAATAAATGGTTTTAGTTTTAGAGGTAGTATACTAAATTGTTAATTTTGGGGGCGGGGGGAATGAAGAAAACATCAACTTTGTTTACAGAGAATAATAGTTTGGGAAATTGCAGGACATTTTCCAGGTGTTTGGTGTGTTTAATAACAGTCTCACTTACATTTGTACCTTTCTAATTCACAAACTTTATTTTGAAGCTTCAACTGCAAACTAGTTAATATTTCAGGTTGTGAAGTTTGATGGGGTTGAAATCCTACATTTGATATGCCACTTTACCTCTTGCTACTTCATGTGAGAGCTCTTGTGGCCTCGTGTTAAGGAGCTGCGCTGCCAACTCAAAGGTATGCAGTTCAGATCTACCAGTTGCTCTGTGAGAGAAAGGTGGGCAGTCTACTTCGGTGCAATTTACTATGACTAGAGAGTCAGCTATGGGTCGGTTCCGACTTGAAAGTACACAGCAACTTCATATGTGGGCTTAGCGGGAAGATAGGCGGTTCAAACTCAGCAGCCACTGTTCTGGGGAACAGTGTGACAGTCTACTTCTGTAGAGATGACAGCTGTGGACACTCTGTGGTACAGTTTTGCTCTGGGTTGCTGTGAGTTAGAATAACTCAGGTGGCAGCAAGTTTGGGTCTGATTTGGTCACCCAGGTAATAATCACTCAGAGTACTTGGTTAAAGTGCCGAGTCCTGGCCCACCGCTGGTGATTCAGACTGATTAGGCCTGGTGTAGAGTTCCTGGAGCCTTGGTGGTGCAATGGTTAAGCTCTCAGCTGCTAGCTGAAAGGTCAGCAGTTTGATCCAGCAGCTGCTCAGCAGGAGAAAAGATCTGATGAGTATTCCTGTGAAGAGTCCAGCCTGGGACATCCTGTGGGACAGCTCTGCTCTGTCAAATAGGGTCACTGCAGGGGTTGAGTGCAAGTTGCTATTGTTGTTAGGTGCTATCAAATCAAGAAACACTCATAGTGACCCTGTGAGTAGCCAGCCTGACCTGTGCCATCCTCATCATCTCTGACACAGGTTCAAGAGTATTAATTATTTAGCAAGTTGTTGTTGTTGTTGTGTTGTTAGGGTCTGTTTAATCTGTTGTTTGTAGGGTGGCTGTGTGCCACAGTTGACCTGATGATACCTAACAACAACAGAAGCAAAGATGTTAGTCTGGAGACTAACGTGTGCCCAATCCAGGCCATGGTCTTTACAGTTACTTTCTGTGCATCAGACAGTAACTAAGGATGACAGAAGAAGAATGATGCCTTTGAGTTGTGGTTGCTGGAGAAGAGTCTAGAACACACCATGGACCACCAAGAGAACTAACAGGTCTCCCTTGGAGAGGGTGAAACCTTGGAGGCAAGGATTTTGAAGGTCTGTCTCACATACTTTGGGTGCGTGGTCAGAAGGAACTGGTCCTTGGAGAAGGACATCATGCTCAGAAGGGTGAATGGACAGCACAGGAGAGGAAGACCCCAGATGAGATGAGTTGACAAAGTAAATGGAGTAATGGAGGTAGGTGCATCAGAGTCGGTGAGACTGGTTCAGGACAGGGCAAGGTTCAGAGCTGTTGAACAAAGTGTGGCTGTGAGTCACCTGTGACTCGATGACACATAACAACAGCAACAGCACTGGCCAGCCTCCTTGGCTTCCCGTATATGTGTGTGTGTGTGCATACTCAAACATGTTATAGGGTGTGGACCATGGTGCCTGGACTCAAATCCCGGCCCCAGCACTCATGAGCTGTGTGACCTAAGTTAATTAGAGTCACTTAATTATTTTTTTTTCTTGGTTTTCCATTCCTGATAATGACTATATTTCTGAGGGTTGTTGTGAGAAAAATAAGTGCACACACATACACAAACATCTTGCTTGCAATTTCATGTGTGTACATGTTTATGTGTGTGTGTGTGTGTGTGTCACTTAGAACAATGTTTGGCACATTATAAGGAGTAAGCAAGTATTTGCTTTTATTATTTTATATCTCAAGTAGAGTGAATCTTCACAATTAAGTGGTGACTTTCTTGAGGTCTTATTGATGTGTTAAGCAGTCATGTTGCTATTAATTTAGAATGAGCATTTTTATTAACATAATGATTTCTAATATTTGTTATATTCACCCTTCCCACGTATGTCTTTTAACATAAATGGTTTAGAGAGAAGTCTTTCTCTTGTCCTTTCAATTCTTTCTTTGGTTTTTCTTTACTAGTTTCATTGAAATCCTAGTTCAACAACTAAAAAACAATCCTGCTATCATTTCTAATGCCTGATACGTGGAAAGGAAAATAATTTGCATTTTGATTTTTTTTTTTGAGAGAGATTTGCAATCACACGTGGATTTGTTGACATATTTTGCATATTGATGACATTTCAGGAGGTGCCCTCTGCAGCTCCTGGGAGATAGGACGTGCATTTAGGACATGCAGCAATCTCGTCCCAAGTGGTCACCTGATGAGTATAAAGCTGTGGACTGAGACACATTGTGAGATTTCCTGGGCGGGTCCAGCAGCAGTTGGCAAACATAGACCAATCATTGTTTTGCTTCCAGCCTCTAAAGTGTTAGGGACTTTAACTGTACTCTCTTTCCTCATGGATAAACTAATTTTCAAAAAGAGTCTGGAATTACACAGCCTGAGTGGGTGGGAAAAGTGGAAATGAAGGTCCTGCGTCCACCAGAATTGGGCAATGTGATGGACCCTTCCTGTATTACAAATTGCTCTGCCAACCCAAAGGCAGACAGTTTGGTTCCACCAGTGACCCCACAGGAGAAAAATGGCCAGTCTCCTCTTATGTGATTTACAACCTTTGAAAACCCACTGGAATATCAGGTGTGAGTCGATTCTGACTAGACAACAATGAGTTGTTTGTTGACATTAAGCAGAAATCTAAGCTACACCTTTAGGGTAAAAGTGAACCCAAACTAAGCATCCCTCCCGCTCCCCAGCTTTTGGGGACTGTTGCAGCCTTGACCATAAGCAGAATAGGAGAAGAACAAGGGGGATAAGAAGAAACGGTTCCTGACATGTGTCTCATGAAGGCCTTCTTGGGGAGTTATGCACTGGGCATATGATCATGAAACCTCATGCTCTGGGTTGAGGCAGACTTGCTTGTTTCAACCCCAGGTGTCTGGCAACAAAAGCCAAAGAAATGCCTCTCTGGAGGAATCAGTCAATATGCAAATCTATATAGTTTTTTTTTAAGTTTTTTTTTTTTATTTTTATTTCATTATTTTTTTGTGTGTACCATCAAATCTGATCTGACTGATACAGGAGGAGATTGTTCCTCCTTCTCCAGCAGAGCATCTGGTGGATTTGAACCGTGTACCTCTGAGATTGCAGGGCAGCTTCTTGCCACTAGGCCACCAGAGCTCGCCTAAAAGTAATCTTTTTAAAGGCAATGGTTTGCACATACTTGAAGATAAACCCAACATCCATGGAAAGAGAACAGTATGCCCAGGCTCCTTACCAAACGATGGAAAGCTATCTTTCTGATTTGCAATAAACTTAGTTCTGTGTATGCTAAGGAAAGAAAGAAATGACAGGCTTGACTGTATCTTCAGAGAACAGGAAACAATCAAAAGCAAATTTGAAAACAGATGAAATGAAAGTTGTAGAAATTAAAGATAGCTGAAATGAAAAACTCAGTGGCCATGTTTGATAGCAGTAGTACAGAGAATCAACCACAGGACAGCATTTGCAAAATGCTAGCATTTACAAGAGGGTACTTAAATACCAGGCGGATTAAATTAAAGCCTTAATAACAAAGGCATCTGGGAGGCCGATTAGTCCAGAAACCTCAAGATGTAACAAAGAGTTAGTTCACGGCTTTATCGATCATTTTGTGTTTTTAATACACAACCACACACAGAATTACAAACAAGGCACACTTTAACTACGCCTACAGTTGTGGAGTTAAGTGGGAATTAAAGTGTAACTCAATTACACATGACACTCTGTTATTACTCGATTATTACATGACACTCTGTTACTGTTTAACTGGATGACTGGCGCAAGTGATGGACAGCTCCCTGCATATCATCATGGCCCTCAGAGGGGTACAAACATGGATTGTGAGCCATGAAATGGGCTTTTGTTTTTCCCACCCTCAGCACTTCTTCCTTGCTGGTCTGTAAGTTCACAAATAGATGCTTTATCTGTGAGGACATTTCTAGTTCCACATACAGACCAGATTGCAAGCAGGCCACGCAGAAGAGGGACCTGATGATGAATTTATTGATTCAGTCATTAACAAAAGATTCAAGCACCTCTTTGTGGCCCTTTCCCGTGGAGCCCATATTTTAAACATTTTGGTGATTTTTGTGGGCTTTCTCCTCCTCTCCCCCAAAATTGGTACTATCAGACGACAGTGTGTTTTCTAACTTCTAAATGTAAAGGAGACGGATATTTTTATGCTAGTCCCAGTGTGTGTTTATTTTCAGGTCTGTGACTTTGTATTAAAGGCATTTATATGAAAAGCAGCATCTGAATCTTGTAATTGCAGTTTAAATATTCAGCGCGCCTCATCCTCATTAGAATTCAAAATAGAGCCTCGTCTGAGTCTGCCTGAGGGAGCTAATTGTGAAAGCTCAGACGAGGGATTCTGAACAACTTGGGCTCAAGGGCAGCCTTGCCTCTCAGCATATTGACTATTACGTAATGTTGTCTAAAGCACATTGATTGTGACTGTAGCAATGTTTCCATTTCAGTGATGTGGTTAGAAATGAGCGCGGCTGACACAGCACTAATGTTCTCACAGCCTGGAACCGTGGCGTGTGCCCTTCGGCTCATCCCAGTGCCCCGTGCCCTCAGGGCCTTAAGGGAGGCCCGCAGCTGGAGCCACCTGGACCTGGGTCATAACCTGGACAGACCCACTTCCCACCTGCTAACTTGGAAAGTTACTTGGTCTTTCTAATTCAAAGTTTCCTACTCTGTAAATGGGGACAGTGATTATTAGTATACGGGGTTATTTTGTGGATTAAAT